GCAGAATGACTTATTGATTTCAATGGTAATTGGATAGTTGATTAATAATTATTTAGACTCTGATTCAAGGATAGGGTTAGATAGCAGATATCATTGCTAACATTTAAAAAAGGAATAGTGTGAAAACTTTAAGGCATTATCCAGTACCAGATTACATTTTCAGATCTAAACATACTAACAGTTGTAAAAATAATAATGTCTCAATTTTCAAATGAAATAATTGCAAATCTTTTTTTTTTTTTTTTTTTTAACTGACTGTTCCTGACAAGCCTTTTGTTCAGGATTCATTTTTGCACTACAACAGCTGATGTTATCACAGCTACTGAGAAAAGATCTGCACGGATTTAGGGTTTGTGATGTTATGAGCAGTTCCAACAGATACCTGGCATCCTGATCTCAGCAGTAAAATTAGAAAGAAATATCTTTTCAACTATTTTGCTTTTAAAAATTACAAATACAAGATTGTAAGCTCTCTTTGTCTATGTCGGGGTGGGCAAACTATGGCCCAGGGGCCACATTCGGCCCTCCAGACATTTTAATCTGGCTCTCGAGCTCCCACTGGGGAGCAGAGTCCAGAGCTTACCCCACTCCAGCCGGGGGGTGGGGGCTTGCCCCGCTCTGCACAGCTCCTGGGAGCAGCAGCATGTCCCTCCTCCAGCTCCTATGCATAGGGGCAGCCGGGGGCTCTGCCTGCCACCCCCGCAGCTCCCATTGGCTGGGAACCATTTTGCTTAGTTGATTAATAATTTCATCCCTACTCTCCATTATTATTAGCATGGATCCCTGCTGCCACTAAATAACATGTATTTTGTTTGTATACACTGGCCAGATTGTCTCCCTAACCTTCTGTTATTATTAACTGTTTGTATTATTGTAGCGCCTAAGAGCCCTAGTCCTGGACCTGGACATCATTGTACTTGGAACTGTACAAACACAGAACAAAGAGATAGCCCCAGGCCCAAAGAGCATAGAGCAGCAGGTACTGGACAGTCTAGTTAGACTGATTCTATCCCTCCTTAATAACTGATCCTTTGAGCTACCAGCTATTGACACAAGAAGGAGGAAAATTTGCAAAACACGTTTATTCCTATATCTAAGAAAATAGTGCAGGAGGAGTATGTACAAAAACCACCACTGGATTTTATACAAGATAGCAGTGGAACTACATATACCCAATATTAGAAGGAAACACACTAGATCTGTAGATGGAAAATACTTCAAAATAATTTATTAGCCAAAACAGAAGACTAGCCTTTGTCTAAATCTACTTCTATTAAAAAGTCTTTCCAGCAAACTTTCACAGTGACTTGGGAAAACCTGGATTGCCTTTAAAAAATACAGAAACACAATATTAGTGAATGAAGGTAATGCAGCTGATGTAATATATTTGGATTTTAATAAAGCATTTGATACGGTGTTTCACAAAATCTTACAGGAAAAATTAATTCAAATTGGCTTACAGAGGAAAAAGGAGATGTGGATTGTAAACTGGATAAAGAGACCATAAACAATAGCTTAGATACCTCTCTATGCTACAGTATCTAAGCACTGATGAAAGGCAAATTTATTTATTGCAGTTACCACAGGAACACTGAGATTAATTTCATAGCATTAGGAAAATTTTTCGTGAAAACTATATTGAAACAGGGGTCCATTGTGTGAACTGGTACAGATGAGGATTTGGACTCAGTGCAGACTGTGACAACAGATAAGATCACAGAGGATATGGGTTACAGTAGTTCCTCAGGGAATGTCAAGAAGAAGTAAATGCATGGTTAATCAACCAAATCCTCAAGTTCTATAGATAGATGACAAGGATGCATGCACACCCACAAATGTATCTATGGGGCTACGAGTCCGGAGGAACAAACCCAGCTGCCATTTCCCCCATTACTGGCTCACCCGAAGACAACATTCCCAACTCCTTAGGCCCAGGAGAGGGCCTGGGAAACAGAGCTGGTTTAAGGCAATCCAGTGCCCTAAACGACAGCTCTGGGAAGCACCTCCAGAGCTCTGCCCCCATGGCTCTGTGCCCAGCCACACCGCTCCCCATATGAAGTGATGATAACAGAAACCTCCTTCCCCTCCCAGGCAGCGACAGCGGTATGATGATCCTTTCTACACCACAGGAGAAGCAAGATGGGCCCCCCTGCCACCTAAGAGGCAGGAGTGGCAGCTGACCCCCTGCCCCACCACTGATATTTACCCCAATAACCAGGATATATCTGCTTTGGTTGGTGGGCAAGGCCTGCTGCATTCTTCTCCTTCTGCTACATGCAGAGTCCTCTGCTGGGTTGGCCTTGTCGGGGGCACACAGAGCAGCAAGCCTTGGAGTCAACAGCCTATTTTGATGCATGGGACAGTGCACATCACTTAGAGCTGTTGTTTCAAGCTGTCTGCAGATTCAGGCAAACATCTCTGCATCGGTTACATTTGGGGGGCATACAATTTCAAAATTTTCTTCCCAACTATGAAATCTAGCAACTTTCCTTTTTAAAAAAGATAAGAACTGAGATTCAGATGTAATCACAAGACTCCAGGGGCAGAGGTCTTTGGCATAGGCCTATGGTGCCTTTGTAGGGTGGCCAACTTTCTAATTTGTGAAAACTGGACACTGAGTGCCGGAACTTCCCCTGCCCCCTGCTCCGCCTCTTCCCCCGAGGCCCCGCCCCCCCAGTCCTCTTTCCATCCGACCATCACTTGCTGCTCTCTCCATCACCCTCTCCCTGCCAGCTGAGCAGGGCTCTAGGGGTAGAAGTGTCACTGGGGCAGGACATTGGAGAGAAAGCCGGGCTCTGGGGGTGAGTAACTGGGCAAGATGGGGGAGGCAGAGCCAGGCTCTGGAGGTGGCGGGGTGACTGGGGCAGGGTGGGGGAAGGAAAGGCATGATCTTGGGGTGGAGGAGTGAGTGGGGCAGGATGGGACAGGGAGAGCAACTCTCGGGGCAGGACCAGGGAGCCGCCAGTACCTCTCTCTGTGGGAGCTGTTGCTAAGTGCTCCTCCAGGCTCCAGCGGCAGCAGCTGCTCTTCCCCCCCGCCCCCAGTGGCGGAGGCAATTACTACAAGTAACTGGACTTTTAGTGTCCGGTCAGCACTGCTGACTGAACACTGCCAGGTTCCCTTTTCGACCGGACTTTCTGGTCGAAAACTGGGCACTTGGCAACCCTATGCCTAAATCCAGCCATGATGGGTTTTATTTAATAGGAAACAGGGTACTTCGCCTGGAAAGCAGGACCAGGGTTGAGGATACCTGTGTCAGCCACACATTTTATTAAGTGTACTATAACCGACCAATGGCCCAATCCTGCTTATCCACCATTTAGCTAAGGTGAACTATAAGTCAATAAATAACGTGGTGGGTTGGATGTGGGCAGAGTGTGATGAATTTGTGACATAACTAGAAGTGTTTAGTGCTATAAATTACTGTGTTGTTTCAATAATATAGTGAGGTTGACTGCCTAGGAAGTACTGGCAGGAAGAGGGAAGTCTAACAAAAAAGCTGAAACAATTTCTGAAAACTACAAAAGTATGGGACAAAAGTTAAAGCTCCATTTCTACATTGTTATTGATTACTCTCACACAGGAGCTTCTTTCCAATTAAAATATAATTACTAAACTTCTATCCTACCATAACTTGCTGATACACAACAGTGCCTGGAGTCCAGTGAACCCCTTAATTTCATTCTATTAGTATGTCTTAACTGCACAGTTAAACTGGGCTCTTACTAGGCGTTAGCCCACACTCCCCTACCATCTACACAGGAAAACCTCTGACCCAGTCTGGAGAGTCTTTAAGTCTGGGCTAGTTTACACAACTGTGAGGTGGATTAGAACTTGAGCTCCACTTTCACTTGGGTTGGAACCCTCTCACTTTGCAGTGAGAATACCAGCTAACTCACTCAAGTACTGATAGTCCTCAAACCTTTTCTACAATTCCCCCTGAAGGTCAAAGTTCTCCCACAACTGACTGGGAAAGAATCCTAGAAAGTCTCAACACAAGGAACCATGGACTATGCCCCCAGAGCCACATGGGTGAATGCAGAAACAGCGAGGATGCAGTAACGCGGATTGGGTTTTCCTGTGAGGACTCTCACCCTGGACTAGGCTAAGGTGGGTGCCAATCACCCAGGTTAACTGTGCAGGGAACACATACCCTAAACACCTAACCAATCCTAGCTACCTCCCAGTCATCCATGGAAAACTCCAGTTTCAGAATAAATTGTTTCCATCTTCCTACACTCCAATTGATTTCCAAAACAATGTCAAAATAATCACACCATAAGTATGCACAAGTAGTGCAGGGCAGCCTAAAAAATACTTGGGATATTTCATTCCCAAGCTACATCTGTGAATCAGGGTACTTAGCTATATATGGATATTGAAATGTTAAGGCAATAAAAAGGATTTCCAATAACACTGTAGAAAATTAGTTGAAACAGAAATTTAAGAAGAGCAAGATAAGTCCTAAAACAGGTAAAAGCTGAATATGTCACGCTGGTTTCAATGTTTTACTTCAGTTCTTCCTGATCCTGCCTCTATTTTGAAAACAGATTGGCTTCGCTTGAATTTATTCATGCTCTTTAAGTCAAGGGCCCCATTTGGGTAATGTAATCCATATGTTTGTTATAGCTGTACTTGCAATGATTAAGGATCAGAGAAGTTGAATTATGAACCCCATCCTCTATATACAATCTTGACCATTTAAAGGCACATTTTGATGACTAGGCACAGAAGATGTGAGCAAGGATGCAACTGACATGGTCTAAAATATTATTAAAATTATTTTTCAATTCAAAGTCAAAACAACAGTATTCTGAGAAGGCAGAAATATCTTTTTTAAAAAATCCTGCTGTAACGCCTTCCCACCCCTGATAATTTTTACAAGTGTCAGATGTTTCTCCAACACTACATATTTTGCAAGGAATAGCATATTGTACTGGGAGAGAAGAAAGCATCAGGAACTTTACATTGGAATCACTGTTTACAATTTTAGAGCGTACCTGTTCTTTTAGTCTGAACTCTGCATAGCTGGATTTGGCCTGTGCAACAGGCTCGGTATTTGTGACATGGTGAGGACCCTGCTGGATATGGAAATACATATGAGTGGCTCCCCGTTGCATGGTCAGAGAGAATAAAATCTATCACATGCTGAAAAAATAAGCAATTAGCAAAAGTATTACCTGTAGCACTGGTTTGATCCTCAAGAAAAGGGTTTTGTTTTGCTCATTTGTTTATTTTCCAGACGGGGTGACTGTAAGACTTTTGAGTGTGAAAGGGTACAGTGGAGATGGAGATGCAGCTGATGATGGAAGTGATATGAGGGAGGCAGGAAGCAATAATTCAGAGTAGAAGGGGGTGCGATGAATAGACACTACTTACAGGATATTAGGCAAAGCAAAGCTTTGATGGATGCACTAAGGTGCACGGCTAAGGTTGTAGTTGGATCAAAGAAGGCCTAAGGAAGCAATCTATATAATCCTCCAAATGAAGGATTTAGCAAACTCCAAAGATAATTTAGAGGAGAAGGAGATGGAGAGAGAATTGTTGTTTATGACCCAGCAAGTGGAAACCTTCCCTTTACAGAATAAATGCCCCCAGCCTACCATTAGGGGGCACTATGCTGCTGGAGATTCTGACTTTTATTTGAGACCTAAAACTGAAGTCCTGACCGCTGATGGTCGACTCAAAGATGCCAATGCACTTTTTATGTGAAGTAGGAATGTTAGCTCTACAGTGGTCAGGGACTCAGTTCTACATCTCAGCTGAAAGATTAACATATAAAATAAATTGCCATGTAAGGCCAACTGGAGCCAATGGTATAAATGAATAAAACAGATAGACATTTTTATAGAAGAGGATTCAGAGAGGTAACAAACAAGGAAGTGAGGAAGCAATCACTATGATGGGTCTTGTTGAGCTAAATGGCCTTTCCTTATCCATCATTCCTTATGAACTAAAGAACCTACACACAGTACATTCCTTGGGATGACTGCTCATGATTAGATCCATTTGCTTTACACAATGGTTGTGTGACACTGATGAACCAAAAGTAAGTAAATCACAGCATGCCACTAAATAATGTAGCTAATGTGGGAGTTATTTCCTTTTAGCATGACTTTTCACACTGATATGTAATATATCATAATGTGATATGCATTTGCTCCCTGCACTGCCGCCTTGACAGCGTTTGCACCTTGAAAAGCAAGAAATAGGCTAGGAATCAAACCTGTGCCTTCCAGATAGCAAACACTACCATCAGACTAGCCTTATGGCACAGCTTGTAAATTACAATGTTTTCTACTGGACATACACAGCTCCACAATGATGAGCTGGAAGGAGTCCATAGTACGACATCATGGCATACTGGATAGACAGACCAAACAAAGATAACATTATCCATACACAAAAAGCCTGACATTGCAAAGCATTCTACAGATGAGTATTAGCTTTATAATGAGAATGGTTAGATATCCAAGCTTGCATGTATTTATTACCACAGTATAAAAACAACCACCACCACCCACCACTGTACACCAATTATCCACATACTGAAATTCTGTACATACCTGGGATACAAAAGGCCTAGGGGGCAGGGCAGGTGGTGGTGGTAACCAACCTGACTTCACAGCTGAAATGAGAGAGAAACAAATAAAATTAACTAATAAAACTAAAAACTAGACCAGTGGCTTGCAAACTTTTTGAACTGAGCCCCTTCTTTGAGTTACAATTTTTGGATGCACCCCCAAGCCAGACAAAAATAGACACATGCAAAAGTATGCTTGATAGCCTACTCGTAAACCTAACAGAGACCTTGACACAACTTTAATTAAATTACCTAAACCTGTAAGTTTCAAATACACAGACACTTACCAATTGCACAGCCAAGGCTTCCTCAGCAGCAGGCTGCTTGTACCTTGCAGCCAGGCTGCACCAGTAGGGCAGAGCCGATACCTGTCTCTCTGCCCCTCCCCACCGGGTTTTCCAGGTGTGGGAAAGCATGTGCCACTGTGACTCAGGGTGGAGCCAGCGCTGGGCACAGAAATCAGCATGGTCGCAGCAAATGTTTACACTGACCCATAGTCTGGGTAGCCTGCTGAGGTAAGTCAGGAGGGGCCCCTGTGAGAGCTGGCCTTGGCCCCACCATGTGGTGCTGGCATGAGCCACCTGGCATCGCCGCTCACCCCCCAACCCTGAACATTCCTCCATTCTCTGTGGCATGCCTCCCTGACAATTTGAAAACCTCAGAACTAGACTATTTTCTCTGATGACTGCCAGCGAACAGGTGGTTTTCAACATTTTTAATGATGAAAATCAAACTGGGTCTCAACTGAACACAAATCTTTGCAAACACTGTTTGAAACCTCTTCCTGCTACAGCACACCCTCTGAAAAAGACCAGAGATTTAAATGCTATAAAAAGCTTACTGTTAAAGTAAAAGGTAGAGATATATTCAGTCAGCCACAAAGATATATACAGTCAGCTGAATGCAGCTAAAACAATTTGACTGTAGTTAAAGTATAGAGCTGGGGTGAAAGTCTACTTATTCTTAGGACTCTGTTCTTTGTCATTAACATTATTGCCTTTTTAAAGAACTAATGCAGTGTACTAATGTAGACATTAGGGTTTGCTCGAGACAAAATACACTGACAAGTCACAACGCCCAGTCAGAGAAGAAAATATCCCCCATGGAATTAGAATGGGTGCTTAAACGAAGCATACAGAGATCAGTTTTAGCTTTGATTTGGTTTCTTTTTTTTTTTTTTTTTGGGGGGGGGGGCTTTGAGAGGAAAAAAGGATTTTAACAGTCAATTTTGGGCCCCTTTGGTAATGTAACAAAGCAACATCGTGCAATCTTTCATTCTGAGCCAGTGAACGGAGTTGGTAAGAACTATGCGGGCCATCCATTGTAATTCTCAATCTGGCTCTCGTTAAATCCCTAAAACCCATCTCAGGGCAGAACTGCAGGGAATATGAGGCTTTGTAAAGGCAGCTGTGATGAGAAGGACTAGATTAACCCATAGATATCAAGCGAGTTTCATCAAAGTCTTGAGTGATTTTCCCTTCTAGAGGCCCCTATGTTGTGTAGCCTTCCCACCACTTGCCTTTGAAAAAATACGAGTCAGCCTATCTCAGATTTGTGTTTATTTGTAAAGCCTAAAATGTAGCACTAAACCAACAATTAAAATAAAACAGCCCTTTTACTATAATAGTGCTAAACAAGGGGTTATATATATACACACACATCTATTTTTAGTTTTATCCATATTCTAAAAGACCACACAGACCATTACAAGTTACAGCATAGCCATTTAACTTATTAAAATGTATTCCATCTAAAATTTTCCAGAAGTTTTCCCTAATGCAAACCTGTTCATTTCCTTAAAAAAAACAAAAAAACAAAGATCTGAAGCACTAAGGCCCAGATTTTTAAAGTTATTTAGGCGTTGTTACACTCAGTGTCGCAATAATGGGACCTACACTCCTAAGTGCCTAAATCCCTTTTGAAAATGAGATTTAAGTCCCTAAATCAGTTAGGTATTGCAATGCTGAGTGCAGCGACGCCGCAGTCGCTTTAAAATCTGGACCCAAGTACACAGAGATGTTAGTGTAAAAATGCATGGGTAAAACATTGAATACAGTTGTATTGGCTAACTACAGCTCAAAAGAGGTGTGTGACACACAAGATGGAAAAAACAAAGAAGTGCCAAACAGGGATGCAGAACTATTGAATCCTAATTTAGGTTACCTATGGAAAATGCTTATATACTGAAGGTATAAAAGACTAACCAAAGTCACAAAGTATCCAAACAGGCAGAGATTAAGTTACTAGGACCCTTCACCCCATTTAGTCAGCTACCCCACCTCCCCACCCCAGTGTCTCCCACCCGCTGGCGGCCCTGCCAATCAACTCCTCCCCCTCCCTCCCAGCACCTCCTGCCCACCGCAATTAGCTGTTCCACGGTGTGCAGGAGGCACTGGGAGGAGAGGGAGGAGTGGGAATGGGAGGCACTTGGGGGAGGGGACACAACTGGGCAGGAAGAAGTGGGGCAGAGGCAGGGCCTTGGGGGAAAGGGTGGAGTGGGGACAGGGCCTGGGGCTGAGCAGGGGTTGAGCACCCCCAGGGAAAGGAGGAAGCCAGCACCTGTGCTGTCTTTAACCTCAACATTGCTCCACAGAATACAGCATCTAATATATATTCTGTATCCCCCAACACCCATCACTCTATCCCAGTGATACGCTTGATCCTCAGAGAAATGATGATATTCTATACCAAGGAAATTAGTTTGCCCAACAGGGAAAGCATGTTCTGAAGTTGCTCCCAAGCTCAGAACTTGTACTTGGTACCCCACAACACTGCCAGAATGGTCCACACAACCTTCCTTATTAAAATTACTTCACACTGAAGTGGTCAAGTAGAGCACAAAGCATCTTATTTCAGCTTTTAAAATATGCCACATTTGAGAGTTTAGTATTTTAAGCTAGTGAGATACTTAACCATGCGAATTTGACCCAGTTTCCTCTTTTTTTAATCCTACAAATTCTAACTTAAGCTATTCATGAAATATTCATAAAATCCCTGCTGTTTCAGAACATCTATGGCCTGTCGTTAGAAGGAAATCATGCTTATGTTAGCACAATTGCCAGAGAAGATTTGGAGTCAGCTGACTTTTGAAAAGTAATAACTTCTTATAAAAAACATGCATTGTTTTTTCCCAAAGAGGCAATGAAAAGTGTGTTAATGACACACTTAGGTGTCATTCCCCTAAAAAACGAGCATGCCATAAAACAAATACATTTTTGCACATTTCAGCAGCTGTCCCGTAATTGTAGATGACTCTGGAAGGACAGCCTTTCTTGGAAACCAGTCTACACAGGGTTTGTCAGTGTTGGGTTCTGTCTGTTAAAGATGGAATTGTTGTGTGTTCTTTGGAAGTATAAGCTAGCACAGCAAATAGTTCTTTCCAAGGTGAACACAAATATCAGGCTTCTTTCATAGAAAACGGCAGCAAGTAACTGGAAAAGAAGAGGTTACTTACCATAACTGGATGTTCTTTGAGCTATGTGATCCCTATCTGTATTCCACTGGGGTTACAGATGCGCATCATATGCCCTGAGAAGGAGAATTTGAAAGTAGTGTCCACTGATTCATACATGCACCCTGACTCACCTTGTGCTTCCGTCTGAGGCGACAAAGGGTGAGGCGAATTGACCACGTCTCCAGTTCCTTTTCCACAGTGAATCTGACAGATCCAAAGCAGAGGAGAAGGAGGGCGGGAAGTGGAATACAGATAGGGACCAAACATCTCAAAGACCCTCAGTTACAGATAAGTACCTCCTCTTCTTCTTTGAGTGATCCTCCCTATGATATTCCACTGGGGGTGACTGACAAGCAGGACCTAAGTTGGAGGAGGGTGCAAGGATGGGGATGGAAGGGTCATGCGGAGAACCACCGTGCCAAAGGAGACATGCACTGCTGAGTCCTGTAACAAGGCATACTGTGTTGCAGATGTATGGACAGAACTCCATGTGGCTGCTCTACGTATGTCTATGAGAGGAGCATGCCATGGTCATTGCTTCAGGTCTAGTGGAGTGAAGCTGTACCCCTGTGTGGGAGGTATGTTCGACAGCTGTAGCAGAGTTTAATGCAGCCAGATATCCATTTGGAGATTCTCTAGGTGGATATGGCCTGTCCCAATTCTCTCTGCTACCACAACAAACAGTCTAGGGGACTTCCTGATTGTTTGTGTTCTCTGCAGGTAAAAGGCCTGACCTCATCGGACATTGACGGAATGGAGTCTACATTCTTCTGCAGACACATGCAGTTTCTGGAAGAAAACAGTAAGTGAATGAATTGGTTAATATGAAACTGGGAGATCACCTTTGGTAAAATTTTGGGTGTAAGCATAAAAAGACCTTATCCTCGTAAAATACTGTAAATGGCGTGTCCACCATTATAGCTCTGAGTTCCCCAACTCTTCTCACTGAAGTGATAGCAACAAAAAAGGCGACCTTCATGGAGAGGAGGGACATGGATCAAGACATCATTGGTTCAAAAGGGGAGGTTGTTAATCCCAATCCTTGTTGTAATAAGGCGTTCAGTTCTTGGGTGAAAAAACTGTCATGAGAGTGGTCCCCAAAAGGGGATGGGGCAAAGGGTCTTGGAGCATTACAAACTCAATCATATCTCCAAGGTGGATGATATTCAGCACTCATTTGTCCCTTGTTATTGCACTCCAAGTGTGAAAAAAGAGTGCTAAATAACTCCCGAAAGGAGTCAAAGGGTCGTGAGTTGTTAGGCTCACGTGGTTGGCAGCTCTCGAGCTCACATCAAGAAGTTACATCAAAAATGCCTCTTGGTTTGGGTTGGGTTTGAGACTGAAGCCTGAGGGAGGTCCCAGAGAAACGAGACCTTTGGACCTTTTGTTGCTTGCATGAAGGTTCATAGGGTCTATGTTGGTAAAACTGTGGAGACCTGTACCTCTGTGTGGATGACAGGCAGTGGGACTTTCATTTCGAGGCAGAAGTGTAGATGTCCAACGAGCAAAGAGTAGCCCTAGAGTCTTTTAGTGTATGCAAACACTCATTTGTCTTCTGGTTAAAGAGATGGGATTCATCAAAAGGGAGATC